CTTGGGGTCATGTTCGCCGGTAAATGAGACAATTAGATAAAGGAGAAAGGTAACAGTTTGATGAAGAAAAACAGAAACTCACTTGAGGATTGTTGCTTCTTTCTGCCTGCCTCAGGAACTGGAGCAGATAGGGCTGATGACTTAGGAGGAGCGGTAGTTCTTGCTCTCTTACTTTTTCTAGTAAGAGTTGGTCGTGTGGTTTTGGGTAGAGGTACTGGATCAGGATCTGAAGTCTTAATCACATCCGCTTTCTTTCGCTTAGGTGCTTTAATAAGTACCTCGGGTGTTTCTTCAGCTCCTGAATCCCCAAAGGATTCTGAAACATCTGCACCCTCCCCAGCTTCTCGTCTCCCAGCCTCTGCGGCAGCTCCATGAAGAATTGCAGCATCAGCAGAGTCATCATCGGATTCAATGACTTCCGATTCAACATCCACTAGAGCTGCAGAATTCAGCAAAAGTAAGGATAGAAGGACTCCAGAAGGGAAGCAAAATCAGATTGAAAGAGAAGTACCTATCAGAAGTGACCGATTCTTTTTCTTGGATCATCTCCTTCCAATTTTCAAGTTCGCCCGAGCCAGGGTATGACTTAAGTGAAAGTTGGTTGAAAGGGCGATCGTGAGTCTCTTTCAAATCTCCTTCATACTTCTTAGTCCATTTGTCTTCCCACCAAGAAGAGAAGAGCGAGGTGCACCCAAAATTGAGAATGATGGACTTTCGGGCCGCTTGACTCATTACGTCAAGACTGCGTCGGGCAGCTCGGAATGTCACTTCAGATGGAGTTGGTAACCGGAATGAAGTGCCACAATGGACAGAGTCGAAGAACGGGACAGGAATGGCCTGTCTAAATCCTAACTGCCTGCTGCAAAAGTTAGGATGGTACACTTCCAAGCCTCGGTCATATCTATTACCCCCGAACTCCCCAGGTCAGGTCTCTCGGTTGAATGCAACTAATAAATATCTCCCTGCAAAAGGGGGTAGCATCCTCGCCAGGGGCATCTTGAAAGACTTGGTCAGAAAACCAACGATATCTTTCTTAAGACCGACGCACCCCATTCTAAATCTGATCGAGTCCTACAAACTCTGAAGAAATAGAAGCAGGTAAATGTGGAATGATCTATAGGGGCAGCTTCAGCCAGGATTCAGGCAGGGGCCACACCCTCCGGGAACTCCAGATTTGCAGCCCGAAATTCTGGAAAGTACCATTGAAGCCAAGTCTGTATCATCCATATAGGCCCATTCAAGTTGGTCTCAAATGGCTCGCCTTGAGTCATTTCGAAAAGAAGATGATAAAGATGGGAAAGGAGGAATGGACCTGTAACTACATCATCAAAGTTGTGAAGAGCTTCTACTAAGGGGATCCATTCAACCCCTCACCCCTTTAGATTTGTTGGGGAAGATGTGCTTGTTGAGCCAGTATAAGAGGAAATACATATGCTCCTGATCTTTATCAACCCGAGGTGAGCCCACCCCAAAATTCTCCTTTACGAAGGGGATGAATCCTTTGAAGGAGGTCCCATAACTCTTGAAAGTTGCAGAGTTATAGTTCAAAGAGAGGAAGGCAGCAGATGAACTTGAGCTTCAAGTGGTAGAGGACGGAACCCAGTCTTGAGTAACGTCCACTATCCTGCCCGAGGGCCTTAAGCCGAAAACCTGAGCCATGTCAAGAATGGTGGGAGACATGGGGCCCATACGGAAGTCAAAAGTATTCGTGCCCGAATTCCAGAAAAGGAGGGCAGAAACAAGCAGTTCGGGCTTGGGAATAATAGAGGTCTTCGAAAGCATGATTAACTCATAAATACCATTACTCATCCATTTCCTCTTAAAAGTAGGCTCTAAATCATCAATCCATTGAGCCCAGGCAGGATCGTTCATCAGAGGAAAGCCTCGACGATATGATGACCATTTGGAGGAAGAGATGCCCGACCTAGCCGAGTAGGGATTTTGGGGAAAACCAGTTATCTCTAGGCATGTTGCTTTCCACCACTGAAGGGACTCGAGAAATCCAGGCGGGACCCAATGATTGTACCCCATGCACCTCAAAGAAAAGCTCGGAATGCAGACCTGCCCGAGGGCGATGCAGCCCATTGAGTAGACGACGCAGAGTGGCAATTCCTTCGCCAGATTCGTAAGAGGGTTGGGTTTGGCTAGATTCTGCAATCATTTGAGAAAGTTCGAGAAGGGAATACCAAGGAAGATGATGAGGGCAAAACCTTAGAGAAGGATTTCTTGCTGTGAATACAGGGGATTGAGGAGTTCAACCGCAAGGGGTTCGTGGGTTTTATAAAAACCCTTTTTCAATCAATATTGGCGCCTGGAATTCCAGGCTAAATATTAATTGAAGGGGGCACTGTTTGGATCAAAACTTGAACTTTGGGCTCAAGGAAGGAGCTGGCCCAAAAGGAAAGATAGCCAGATCCCAGTCAAAGCCCAAAAGGCAGAAAAAGGTCTTTTCTGACTTGGTGCAGCTCATGAAGACCACTTGCTTACCTACCCAAAGGCCAAGTGGTGTGGACTGATCAGCTACACAGCCCATAAAGCACTTTACGGTGGCATTACATGTAAAATAGTTGATGAGTCATCACCCTCAAACCGCATTCGGGCAAGGCTGCTGCTACAGAAGGCCAAGCCGAGTTGTCTATATAAGAAGAAAGAAAAACCAGGAGTAGAGACACTCAATCAAACAAACAAATGCAAGCACAAACTCTGCTCAAAGCCAGATTTGCTTTCAAAACAAAGCTGTAGTTAGCCTTCATCCCTCTCGGGACAAGCCTTCATCCCTCGCGGGATAACCCTCCCTTCAAACCTTTGTAATAGCTCTGCTACCTTGTTCACCCTGCTGTAGTATCGATTCATCTTTTGTAATCTCTCTCTCTATCCCTCTAAGCTTTCAAACCCTTGACAAAACTACAAAGATAGGAACCTACAAGACGAGCAACCTTAACTGATAAGGTTTAACCTTGCCCGACCTTCTTTGCTTTGTTTTTTTCTTTTTAATATGTTGTATACTTCCAGTTATATGCAAGTTATTTCTAGCAATATGACTATTAAAAGGCTTTCTCAGTACTTGAATCCGATTTGAATATATCTTCAGTGTTCAAACCAGATCCAAGTCCTAAAGCCCTCGGGCATGTAAGTTTGATCAGTTAAAAGTCCTTGGCCTCAAGGCATAAAAAAGAACCTTATGTGGACTTAACCCATCCACGACAGTCCTTGATAAACGAGAAGTCCGAAGTTACTTGGGGCGCAAGTAATCGACCTACTCTCTAGTTTTATTTCTATTATATTATGATTACCATAGAACGCTTGAGCATGGAATGGATTCTGATGGAAAGCCTCAAGGCCTACACCTAAGGCCCCACAAAGGCACCTGTTATAACTAACACGGTTTATTGGATACATACATATATACAACTAAAACGCGACATCCATTTTACATCTGCCATGCTAAAGATGGCAGTGGCACGCCTGAGCACCTAAAAGTTAACCTTGATTGTGAGCCTCAAGGCCTACACCTAAAGCCCCACAAAGGCACCTCTCAAAGTTAACGCTGTCCTTCTCTTTCAGCCTTGCCCGACGAGCCTTGCCCGAAGAGTCTTGCCCGACGAGACTTGCCCGACAACGCCCGACAGTGAAGCAGAAGCTCGACAGCAGCCCTCAACCGGCGCCAACCTCCAGGGGAGCTGTGTGCTCGTCGACCAAGAAACATCCCCGACGGAAATTCCTGACGCGAACACACCTGTGCTAATTTTATGGGTTTAAATATCATTATTGTAATCTAGTTAACCATACATAGCTTCAATAAGCAAAACAAGGTCTTCACTTTCCACAAGTTATAAATTAGAAATGAAAACAGTAAATAATTAAAAATAGTAAATAATGAAAATAGTAAATAATTAACCACTCTAGACTTATGAACCGTTAGTTCTTAATTTTACATTTTTGGACAAAGATTTAAGGGTAAAAGACTGTTTACTACCCTCATATTTCGTGGTTTTCAACATTTGGTACATCAAATTTTTTTCGTCTCAGAGTCATACCTAAAATGTAAATTTTGGGACAGTCTCATACATCCGTTAGTCAAACTGTTAAGTTTTCTGTTAATTGATGACGTGGCTTCCATGTGGACAATGATTGGACGCCACGTGTCATTAAAAATATTAAATATTAAAAATATTAATTTAAAAAAAAAAACCTTCTTCTTTCCTGCAACCTGTACCCTCCCTAGCTTCTTTTTTTTCCCTCTCTCTTCTTCTTCTTCCCATTCCCAGATTCGTTCTTTTTTTTTCTTTTCTTCTTCCTCCTTCTTCTTCTTCTTCTTCCCATTCCCAGATTCGTTTTTTTTTTGTTTTTTTCTTTTCTTCTTCTTCCTTTTTTTTTTTGTTTTTTTTCTTTTCTTCCTAGCTTCTTTTTTTTTCCCTCTCTCTTCGTCGTCTTCTTCTTCTTCCCATTCCCAGATTCGTTTTTTTTTTCTTTCTTCTTCTTCCTCCTCCTCCTCCTTCTTCTTCTTCCCATTCCCAGATTCGTTTTTTTTTTTTGTTTTTTCTTCTTCTTCTTCCCATTCCCACATTTTTTTTTCTTTTCTTTTCTTCTTCTTCTTCTTCTTATTCGGTTTTTTTTTTCTTCTTCTTCCTCCTCATTCTTTTCTTCTTCTTCTTGCCGGGGGGCGGGGGGTGGGTTTTTTTTTAATATTAATATTTTTTAATGACACGTGGCGCCCAGTCATTGTCCACGTGGGCGCCACGTCATCAGTTAACAGAAAACTTAACAGTTTGACTAACGGATGTATGAGACTGTCCCAAAATTTACACTTTAGGAATGACTCTGGGATGAAAAAAACTTGATGTACTAAATGTTGAAAACCATGAAACATGAGAGTAGTAAACAGTCTTTTACCCAAAATTTAATGGTTAAAAAATCTGAAATATCCCACCATACTTCGAAACAAGATAAAAAGTCCATAATATTATATGGGAAATATGATAAAAATAGTGGAAGCTAACCCGCATGTGCATATGTGTCCAAGATGCTTGGGGTCCTTCCGTCTTGGTCTGCAGCACCTTCCACCTATTCATGTAGAATTAGTTTTGGACCAACCCCATTCATCAGTTTCTTCTCTTCTTCTTTCCTATTGATGCGTAGCACTAGTAATACATACAAAAGCATATATAGAGGCTTATATTATTGGCCAATATATCTAACTAATTATATCTTATTATCCCATATATACATATGCGTGTATGTATATATGCACATAGATGAATACATGTATACATAAGAAGAAAAACCTGATAAGCAGAGGAGGAAGCACCAAACACGAAGCCTGGAGGGAAGTCATCTCTGCTAAATTTATCAGCGCATAAAGAAAGCTTTACGAGAAGAAAACACAGAAAAAATGAAACTCTCAACATGAGTAATAACACAAGTTCGCAGCAAGAACTCAGAAGGGAAGGAGTTTCAAAAGGCAAAAGTTAAAAAGAGATTTGAGTGGACACCCTTTAATTTGTTATCCGCAAAGCAAATCGTCGATTCCAGATCTTTCTTTATTATCTTTTCTATTGTATGGTTTTTGAGTAGACTCCTAGTCTTGTACGACTGGTTCGAAATAGCCAACAAGAAGAAACACAGGCAGATGGGTATAATACTCGGTCCTGACCGGTCAGGACGCAGCATTCCGATTTTTTTAGGTGGACCAATAGTATTGAAACAGCTGGCACTTTAAGCAACTTTTTATTATTAACCAAACACCCGCTATGTCCCTAACCAGACACTCCAAATTTCCTCTTCATCGCCATCCAAGCACTCATCTTTCTTTCAACAAGAAGACAAGCAGACACCCCATCCATAAGTGTCAACAGACCACCGTGGCCTTGTCGGATCACCCATCGTTCGCGAGCTCCAAGCCCAAGGCTCCGCCAAACTTGTCCTCCGTACTCAGGTCGAGCGCAACCTCACTCGCCAAGCCGCTTCACCACCACGCCGCTGCAAAACTCGGGTATATGGGTTCGTGTTTAAAGTCGCCGCTGTATATTTCATCGCTGTAATCTCACTGCAATCTCAATGCGATGTGGAGTCGACGCTTGGAGGAGGGATAAAAAATGATATCAACGAAGGGGAGCTTGGAGGAGGGTGGCTGGGGCCGAAGAAGAAGCCAATCCAGATAACATGGGAGATGGAGGGAGAAGGTGTTCTTGTTCTCGCGGATTCAGAGGGAGGTGGAGGAAGAAGGTTTCTGTTTGGTCACGGTTTAAAGAAAAAATTGGATGTTTGGTTACAATGATATCAAAGTTTTGAAACAAAACTGAAGGTAGGATGTGAGTAAAATCGGGTACTAACTGATCAGTACCCAAGTATTGTCCGACAGTTGGCGAGGTTGAAATGAACTTCACCATTCACGAAGAACTGGACTTGGCTGCTGCAAATTTAGAGTCCAAGTTTTAATTTTTTTAATCAAAACTCGAACACGTGTGTCAATCAGAATTAGGTGTAAGCAGCAGATGCTACTGAATTCTTCAGCAGCGAAGTTAAATCCATTCACGAATGAGGAGGTCCGTGGAAAAGTTGCCGTTCCAGATTAGGCTTGGATTTGAGATTGGATTAGGACCATAATTATAAATATTAATTTATTTATCAATAGAAAAATTAAAAAATAATACTTGCATTCTTCATTGGGGATGAGCCGAATGCCCCCATTTTCAAGTGAGTCCGTTTTTTACTCGCCTTTCTAACCTAAAGCGATGTTTGTTTCTTTCTAAAATCGTGCCACATGTTTTTTTTGCTCATGATTAATCAATGCATTTATTAAATATTGAGATTTTATTATAAACGGTTCCTGAAATTGATCTTTACCATTAAAATGATTCATGAACTTGAAAATCAATCAATATAATCCTTGAAAATAAATGTTGCAAATCAATATAATTCTTCCGTCACAATTCTATTAAGTGTTGATACCTTTTTTTCTCACAAATGGTCCTTGAAAATGACCAGCGACATCAAAATGGTCCTTAAAATTGACATGTGACATCAAAATGGTTCCTAAAATTAAAAATCGATCAATGTAGTCCTGCAAGTAAGTGTCTCAAATCAATATAGTCATTCCGTCACAATTCTGTAAAAAATTCTATTATGTGCACACATAAATGGGTCACACAAGTCTAATTAAATTAAAAAAATTACAAATAGGTTTAATAATTTAATAGTTAATAAAAAGATGTCAACCCAAAAATTCAATCCTACAATCACTTCCGATTCCAGTCCACATTCATCTACCTCCTTCGTTATCTATTCTCTAAAAAAGAAAAATATCAATACACCCATCTTTACACACTTCGACACCCTTCACTGAATTGAACCTGGATCGAGATCACCTTTGGTGATGACTTGGCCAATTGGCAACGATTTATGGGACATCACCATTAACATATAGGCGATCAACATCCTCACAACCTTAATCTTGGAGAGCTTGTCTGGCGCTTCCCTGATGGTTTGGTGACTCAAAGAACAGGGAGGTTTACTGGTTGAAAACTATTTCCAAACCCCCTCTTATGCCTTGGTTAAGCCTAGTGCCTTTGAGAATTTATGGAAAAGATCTCTCTTCGGAGTAGACCCTACTATAAGAAAAAAAAATTCCATTGTGCAAAAAAATATTTAGACAACTTTTTTAATTAATTATTAAACCGACATTAGCACATAACAAAAAAATTACAGAATTGTGGCGAAATGATCATATTGATTTGCAACACCTATTTTCAAGGATTACACTCATCGATTTTTAATTTTAGGGACCATCTTGATGGTGTGGATCAATTACAGGGACGATTTGCGATAAAAACCAGTAAATCTTATGGGGCCCATTTATATATCACATCAGCACCTAACAGAATTGTGAGGAATAACCACATTGATTTACAACATCTATTTTCAAGGACTACATTTATTGATTTTCAATTTCAACGACAATCTTGATGGTGATGGTCAATTTCAGGAACCATTTGTGATAAAAACTAAGGGTGGGTTCGGTTTCGTTCGGTTCGATTTTTTGCCAAAATCGAAAACCGAACCGAAATTACTGTTCAGGTTGGTTCGGTTCGGTTTTCTATCGGTTTGTGTTCGGTTTGGTTTTTTTTTTTTTTTTTTTCCTCTAATAACTGAAAAATTTTCTATGAAAAACAACTTGCTGCCCATTTTGTAGGAGTATAAATAAAATCAAAGTCTTATTTCAACATAATCGTCAAAATAAGCATTCCAAATTACAATGAAAATAAATTTTCAAATCAAAGTTCAATTATAATCAAGTCTTCCAAAGTCCAAAGTTAAACAAACATCAAAGTTCAAATCTTCCAAAAGTCCAAAGTTCAAGTCTTCCACACCTAAAATAAACATTCCAAAGTTCAAGTCTTCCACACCTAAAATAAATATTCGACTTAAAATAAACATTACAACTAAGATTATAAATTCAATAAACATCTAAAGTTCCATCCTTGCACATACTTCTTCAAGTTCTCAAGATCAACGCTCAATCATTTCAAGTTTGAATGACAATTTGCTTGCTAATGCTTGGGCGGCCTAGGGGCAACATAGCACCTTTTTTTTTAACTTCCACTGCCATTTCTACATACAAATAATAAAAGAAAGGATACTAATTAAAATGTTATTTAAAATAATCTAACAAAATCAAATGCAATAAATAAAATTACTTTTCTCAACTTCTTCACAAAACTCCATCTCCTCAATGGTTAGCTCATGATGTAATGCAACATGAATAGACCTAAGCCAATTTTGAGTACATATCAAAGCCTCCACCATTTTTGGACTTAAAGAACTACGATATGGATCAATTATCCGTCTACTTGTACTAAAGGAGGATTCTGAAGCAATGGTTGATACGGGAATAGCTAAGATCTCTCTTGCAACACGTGCCAAAATAGAGTACTTAGAAACCCCATTCACCCTCCACCAATTCAATATATCAAAGTTCTCCTCTTCTTCTCTTTCATTAGGATCGGAAAGATATTTGTCGACATCATTATGCACAACCCAGGCTTTCTTTGCTTTTCTCATTTCACTTTTTTCTTTCAACTTTCTTTCTATTTCGGTCATGCTTGATGAAGAGTCTCCACTTGTTGTTTGAGAACTACCACCACTACTTATACTTTGTTGTGTACTAAAAGGCATATCTTCATGAATCTTGTAAAGATCAATCAACAAGTCCCTCACCCCATTTGTGGCACTTTCAACCTTTTCTTCATCCTCACCAAATTGTATCTCAAAATAATCAACTTTCTCTAATTTGTGGCGAGGATCAAGCATAAGTGCAATAAAAAGATATTGATTCATGTCCTCAATTGAACCTCAATACTTGTCATATTTTTCTTGCATCAACATGGAGATCATAGACAAAAGTCATCTTTGTTTTCATGCAAGACTTTTGATCTTAAACAAATCACCAAAAGTAGTATGAACGGTTGGAGTATTAGAACAACATACTTTTAACGTGACTTCATAAAAAGGTCTAAAAAAGATTGCAAATATTTCCGCCTTACTCCAATCATCCATCAAAGGTGGCCCCTCCCTTATATTATCATGATTGTCTTTAACAAAGTACGGAAGATAATGACCATCATCTACTTTTAATCTATCAAAAACCATCTTTAACTTTAAAGCCGATTCCAACATTAAAAATGTGGAATTCCACCTAGTAGGGACATCCATAATCACAAGTCATTTGCTATCTATTCTCACTTTCTCAACACACCTTTTAAAGCTTTCCAACCTTTGAGGAGAAGATCTTACATACCTAACCACATTACGAATGCTTTGTATAGCCGTATTCAACAATTTTATCCCATCATTCACAACCAAATAGAGGATATGAGCAACACACCTCATATGCAAATATTTTCCATCATGCAAGAGTGCATTAGGAATCCCCCGCCCACTTATTCAGTGCACCAAGTCCCTTAAACCAGAATCATTTGCGGAAGTATTGTAAACCGTAATAGTTAACACATTCTCTATACCCCACTCCACTAAACATTCCTCCAAAAGTTGAGCAATGGACTCTTCTTTATGATTTGGAATGACACAAAAGTTCAAAAAAATTTTGTGTAACATCCAATCATCATCAATAAAATGGGCGGTTAGAACCATGTAATTGGTTTGTTGAATAGAAGTTCATGTATCCGTTGTTAGACACACCCTAAATGTCTTCAATTGACTCTTCAATTTATCCCTTTCGGAATAAAACAAGCTAAGTACATCCTTAGCAATTGTCTTACGACTAGGCACTCGCCACATAGGACATGCTTGCATGCAAAAACGGAGAAAACCTTCTCCCTCAACAAAAGTAAAATGCAACTCATCTATAATTATCATCTTAACACAAGCCTTAGTTACTTCCTCTTGAGAAAAACCTATAGCTTCCAACTTATCTTTTGTGCCGGCAAAAGTTAAGAACTTTTGCCTATTTGCGGCAAATATTTCTTTATTAGGACCGTAGCTTCTACATCTTGCTAAATGGTTTCTTAAATTAGTTGTACCATTTTTATCCGGATCGGCCATATATGATTGGGTGC